GAAACCTGATCCTCCCGTCAGACGCACCCAAGGACCTTAACTAAAACACATGTCCTGAATCAACTTCAAAACGAGAAAAACAACTGTACTGTATGTCGGTGGTAGGGGAGTAATGCAGCAGCAAATAAGCTCAATCTCACAGAACTACACCTGATTCGATGATGGCAAGGATGTGGGAAGCTACTACTCCTGCCAGAAACCAGAAAGATGAAGACGATACTCTGATACTCTGTCTTCAATTCTCCGAACTTACTGAGTAAAAAATCAGAACTACTACAATATCCCTGGAACCATGCTCCCTGCGAGGTGTACGAGGAACCATTGCCATCTAAGCATGGGCCTCGAGTTGACCAGGTAGTCCGACACCGAGATCTCCTTCAGACCCAGGAGTGTGTCCATGATGCTGTTCAGCATCTTTTGTACTTCGTGTTCTGGAAGGAGTCCCTCGAAGATCCGGCGTGGAATGGCTGTCATCCACAGCCGCTTTCGACTTTGTGGAACACCGAACATTCGTGGGTCCAACTCCCAGACATGCAGCAAACGATCTGTCTTTGTGCTGATCAAGTGTCCGACATGGTCCAGGTTGGAGGGTCCAGTGCTGCCGTCGGCGTTACGGGTCTTGGTCTTCAGTCCGGCGACGTTCTCAAACAAACAGAAATTCGGTCCGACGAGGCCCGTCGACTGCAGGTAGTGAACGATGCCCTGCAGCACGGAGCCAGTGCGAAGAGTGCCGTCGGAAACGCAGGATCTGTTGGCCGACGTGGACGACGACGGGTTCAGGACAGAACAATCCTGACATGGGAAGCCCGCCGTCATGACCGTACAGCGTGGCATGCGCACGAACGTGTTCGTTTTCGCGTCCCAGATTTCCTTGTCATATTCCAGGTCCGTCGCGTTACAGAACATGCGCTCGATCTTCCTGTCCGTCGTCAAAAGGAACTGGCGTTTGGCGGGCTCCTTCTCGCAGGCGAACTTGTGAGTGAATGCCGGCGAGTCCAGCTCCCAGTGGAAACGTGCCCAGTCCCAGAACTGCTTCATGACCGTCGCAGCGATGTCCATCCCACTGCAGATCGACCCGTATTGTCCATCGAGGAGCGTGCTTTCACGCACCAAGTCCTGACAGTATGCCACGTCCTCGGGGTCGAGCCTCCTGACCCAGAGCCTGAACAAGTCCTTCGTGCGTGTTGCATGCGCCGGCAGGGTACGTGGAAAGTGTTGCAGGCTGTACTTCGGAATATGAACCTCGACTTGCTTCACCACTTCTGCAGTACGGCGATGGGGTCTGTCCGGCGTGGGTAAGTCCTCCGGCTGGAACTGCAACGCTCGCCGCAAAGCCATGGGTAAGCTACGTGTACTGTACAGCGAGTGCCAGATGTTCTCTCAGGAAGCAGGACTAAGGAACCGGGAGACGATGAGTTTGCCGATAGGTATAGGCGTTCCGAACACAAGCCCCGGCCTCTCGTCCAATTATATAATGCTCTTTATGAATCCTGCTGAACGACGTGCTTTTATCAGTATAGCTGCCCCTGCATTGCACTGTTCAGATGATGTTCTGGAGCCAGAAGACTGACTTGGCTCTCTGGAGACCATCATGAAACCAGGTCGGAAAGGTTGACCCCATTCTTCCAGCAGCAGCAAGAAACATTGAAAAACAAAGCTTTCCAAATCGACAGTAAAAGAAATCCATTGGGAGCCTCTCTGCGACTAGTCCAACCGAAAACTAAAACCACATTCAACAAGAACGAACTAACATCATAGTGTAAGCAGCATTTCAAAACATAGGACATCTGAACATTCCATCCAAGACTGCACTGAACTGTGCGGCCGAAACCGTCCTTGAAGTGCTCCGTGTGTCGCTGCCAGAGTGAGAAGGGTGTGGCCTCTGCCCCAGGGCCTGCAACATGGAAATGGAAAGCATCTAGCCAAGGAGTGTGGGGGAACAGCGGTGTATTATCCTTAGGACTTCAGACACGCCTCTGCATGTACATGTTCTGTAGAACCTACAGATTCCAAATGGCAGAATGAGCGGCCCTTTTTATCCTTGCCGAAGGGCCGTCCTTGACATGCACAAGTCGGTCGTCAATCGTGTGACAGCGGGGAACTGAACAAAAAGAACCCAACCACAAAGTCTAATACATTATTCTGGTTTTCTGCAATCTTCTTAAGTTAATTCTCTTACGAGATTCAATGAACTGATTCAATGATTCGAAACATCGGGTCATCGAACAACGTGTGTCATGCAAAACTTGCACGGGCGAGTCCACCGGCGACAACATTCGTCATCTCTTGTCTGACATAAAATCATACTTTGCGAAAGACACGTTGGAAAGTTATAGCATTACGTACACCGGGGACTTGCTACGGCTCCTCTTCTTCGTCCAGCGACTGAATTGTCCTCGTGAAACGGCCCTGCAAATCCTTCAACAAATCGAGTGAGCTGCGCCTGTCCTGCTCCAATGTGAAGCATGAACCGAAAACGTGTGCAGCGATGTCGTCGTCCAGCAAGTGCAGGTCGCGTGCTCTCTCGCGCCATGCAGTCTGGAAACGAACGAGCGCGTGTGAGATGGTCGGCGTGTGCTTGACGAAGCCCTTCGGGTCGGGAGTGAACAGCGAGCGTGTCGTCTTCGCGTAGCAATCCCACGTCACCACACCGAGTGCCCACATGTCCGCCTTCGGGCCGATCTCCACCTCTTTCATCAAAGTGAAGCTGCTGAGCAGTTAAGGGAAACGCCAACAAAATGAAACACATAGTCATACTTCCTGCCAAAAAACAAGTCAATTCTTAAAGACATGGCTGTTACTAGCAAGATATGAAGTTTTTCAGGCTATGTCTTTGACTAAGAAGCTGAGTCTACGACTGCATGTGCTGACATGACTCTTCTATGAATCAAGAATCAGATCTTTGTGTCAAGTTTTCAATTACAATGGCCATTGCTAGTAAGCTAGTAGTAATGACATCAGTTGGATCCGGGAATGCCTGAGGTTGATCTGGTCCTGCAGTTCAGATCCGCAAAATCATAAAGTGTTACTAGAATGAACATACGCACCGGGCTTACTACTTTCAACTTTCTTCGACTAGGATTCATGGTCCAGGCCTTGCCGTCCCCGGAGTAAAGGCACTCGATCGGCCGGTAGTACGTCGTGTAGACTTCGTCAGCTCTGACTTTTGCTTTTCCATTGAGTGGCAAAGCTCGGCAAAAACCAAAGTCGGACAGCACCACCCGCTCGCCGAGGAGAAACACGAGGAAGTTGTTCGTTTTCACGTCCAAATGTACGATGTTTTTGCTGTGCACAAATGTAAGAGCTGCGAGTGTCTGCCGAAAGTACGTCGTTACTTGGGCTCGTCGTGTGCTCCAGGGAACTCCGTCCTGAAGGTCGTCCGTCTTCAAGTCCCGTGTGGCCTTCAAGAGGTCGCAGGAAGCCCGCTCCATTAGAATTCCCGTGTGCCCAGTCGAGGATGTCAGCAAGGCATAGAGTCGCAGAACATTCGGATGAGGTCCTATCTGGCTCAAAAGAGTGAACTCACGGGTCAAGTCCCACGTCTTTTCGAGACCGTCTTGGTGCACGTCCAACAGTGCAGTCTCCCTGTCCGGCGTGCGAACGGCCACTTTCAAGGCTAACTTCAGGCCCTGGTACGTGCAAGCGAAAATCTCCCCGTACGTGCCGCGACCCATATGTTTCTCCTGCACCAGTGGGTCCTCGGCCGTGTAGCGAAAAATGCCACGACCGTCGAAGTCCTGCGACTCTGCGACGTCCGGCAGTGCTCTGTCCATGAACGAAGCGGGGGGAACTTCCGTGTGTTTGGCCTGTCGAAATTCTTCGCGTTGGACCCGATTCTCCTGGTAGCCCTGCCTGGCCTTGCGTGTGTACTCGTCACGGAGGTCCTTTCGGTTGTGCCTCGGGGAACAGAGGAATTTTACTGGACGATTGGGTGAAAAGGTAATCCCCGAGTAAAAAGTAACATGACTTGTATTAGGACTTTTAGCTACATCTTATTAATTATGTCTGAAGTAAATAACTTTGGTACGTAGCTAAGATGGCATATTCGGGTTCCTGACCAGAATTGCCAAGATTTTACTTCCCGTGGCTTCAGATGACTTGGGGTTCTAGGCAAGGGGCACATGTGTCAGTATCTATATTGATTTTGCAGCCAAGAAGCCACTTGCGCAGATAATGTATTGAACCGCGAAGTGATGTTTTCCGGGACAGTCGACGACGAGATTTGGGGTCCACAGAGTCCTTGCACATGTCCTGCATGAACAGCGCGTATGCCGAGGGTCGTCGTGACAGTCCCACCTCCTGTAACTTCGGCCGGGCCACCATGGCACGAGTAATACTTCGAGGATGGAACCACGAGTCGAGACATGTACAGAGACTCTTTCCGTTCCATTTATTTCAACAAAACTGAATTCTCATGGACTCCCACCGAGAATAAAAACCTAGGTTTCAAGTACAAACATTTCTGGTACAATTTCCAGTTGCGCTACATGACTACTCATTATCTTGTGTGTCCGTGGGGAAAGTTACACAAAAGGTGAGTGAGGGCGCGTTGGCTCGCCATATCAGTACATGTCTGGCCTACTTAAATACGTGCTCAATGCATGGACGACATGCTCCTGAACTTGAACCCACATCACCGCCACTGTCTCACACACGTAGCAGTGCATTACAGAAGTCTGACTAGAAGCATCAATTGCACGGATCAAACACGCGTGCAAAGCGGAATAATCCTCTTTTGGGCCCGACGAATGTGTGCATCGATGCTGAACGACGATGTGCTACGAGGAGAAAAAGTCCAATCACGGGCATGTCAAGTCCGAGTGAACTCAGGAGTCGAACCTTGTCAATCGCTCCTGCAAGTTTTCGGGTGGATCACGTCCTTCGTGGTGCTCCACCCATGACCAACCTTGTGTTACACAGGCTCGACCGGCGGCAGCTTCACCTACTTGTGTCCATGAAATACTACGTGTAATGCTGACTACAGCTGTCTTGTACGACACCTTCCAACGACCATTCTTTGGGTCCGTCCAAACCTGTACAGTATCAGGAACCATGCTCTTCACAAGCTCGTCCGTCGTGGCATTCAGCTTTGCGTACACCCGGTCGTACTGCTGCTTTAGCTTTTTGCTGTCCTTCTCGGCCTTCTGAGTCTTGCGTCGGCGTGTGTCCTGTCCGGCCTTCCAAAAGTCCTTGTCCAGGTCCGAGACGGCGTTCTTGTACATCGTGCATACCTTGGTCGTAGACTTTTGGCCGAAACCGTGGACCGACGGGCACTGAGCTCCTTGAGGGCCTTGTCCTGCTCGCCAATGAGCAGCGTGTCCCGAACGACGGCTTCCAAGTCCTTGTCGTCGACCTCCGGCATCCACTTGTCAGTCTGATGCCTTGCCAGGATTCGTTGAACCACGTCCTCTTCGACCAACGAGTTGTCCATGTTGAGCATGGCGGCAACAGCCAGCTGATGTCCTGCGTCCACACCTGATTTGGGTTGGGTGGCGGTCCAACCCATGTGCTGGCACAACCTGCGCAACAAAGCCTCAGAACAGGCAGCGAAGCCCTGCTCGGCGTGAAAGTCCAACGTGCCCATCTTCTTGTCCACCAAAAACACGATGCCGTTGTTGAGGTGGCTGCCCTGCGTGGAACGACCTCAGCAGTAGCAGTAGCGGCAGCAACACTCTTAGTAAAAAATGATCGCAATCGTTAAGTTTTGCGCCTGGTCAGTAAAAAGCGGTGATATCACTAGGAAGACTGGTAAAAAGACTCGAAAAGGGTAGTAGTAGTAGTAGTAGTAGTAGTAGTAGTAGTAGTAGTAGTAGTAGTAGTAGTAGTAGTAGTAGTAGTAGTAGTGGTAGTAGTAGTAGTAGCAGTAGTAGTAGTAGTAGTAGTAGTAGTATAGTACTAGTAGTACTAGTAGTAGTAGTAGTACTACTACTAGTAGTAGTACTACTACTACTAGTAGTTGCAGTAGTAGCAGTAGTAGTTGTAGTAGTAGTAGAAGAAGTTGTAGTAATACTAGTAGTAGGAGTAGTAGTACTGGTACTAGTAGTAGTAGTAGTAGTAGTAGTAGTAGTACTACTACTACTACTACTACTAGTAGTACTTGTAGTAGTAGTACTACTACTACAAGCAATCGCAGTAGTTTACAGTAGTAGAAGGAATCTCAGCAACAGTCCTAGTAGTAGTAGTATTACTACTACTAGTACTAGTACTACTAGTACTACTACTACTACTACTACTACTACTACTACTACTGCTAGCACTAGTACTAGCACTAGTAGTATGGCCAAAAAAGTGGTAGCAGTACACACAACCACACCCTCCTTTCGTCAATACCAAAAACCTCGACGCACGTGCCATCCTGGGCTACTCAACCTAACTCTGTGAAACTTCGAATCCTTGACTGTCGAATCGCCTGAGTTGTTCAAAAACCCATAAAAAATAGCTTCAGTGCTACCCCCCCCCCGGGCCGAAACTTACAATCTGAACCGGAGAAGCCTTCCGTGTCAATCAATCATCGTCACTCATTATAGGCCGAATATATATGTAGAGAATGTCCGTGTCGGGCTGACAATGTTCAACTGTACTGCAGCCGAGGCACGCAGAGGTGAAACAACTCGCAGCCGCAACACTTCCAAGTCCAAAGATGTGCTGTGCATCCAAAAGAGAGACCGAACGCCCATGTTGAATTCGAAAACTCATGGTCCTTGTCCTTAACGATCTTGCCGGGCCATGCGAGTGCAGCCAAACGGTATGTCCGAACGATGAACAACGGGTCTGCACCTGCCAGTACAACATGTCCTTCGGGCAAAAGTCCAGAGCACCAACCTTCTTCACAAAGCGACCATCGCTTGGCCCTCCATGCCTTCATCAGTAAACTGAAGGCAGCCAAAACCTCCTGTTCCTCGGCGTGGTTGTGGGAGACCCAGTCCCTCGTCTTCGTCACGTCTGCAAGAAGCTGTGCTTCCTGCACCTCCGAGGCACTGACCTGCGTGCTGACCGACGAATCGGAACGACGACGAACTGCTTGAATCTTCTTCTTCTCGGTGTCTTTGCAGAAAAGTTTGGCCACGTCAAACGCTGCCGGCGTGTGGTAGAGCTCCGTTGACAGTGCCTCCACCCTCTCGTACATCTTGACCACGGCCTGTTGGGTCACAGCCTTCCATCCGTCTCGGGTGAGGGATCAAAAAAAATTAAATAAGGATCAAAAAAAAATTAAATGGAAAGATCAAAAAAAAATTAAAATAAGGATCAAAAAAAAATTAAATCACGCAAAATACAGCAATTCCTGGGGCAGGGGCATCAAAAAAAAATAAAATAAGGATCAAAAAAAATTAAATCACTTAAAATACAGCAATTCCTGAATTTTTCCAATGGAAAACACTGTTTTCCTACGGATTTTCTTGTGTTTCCTTAGGATCTGTCTGGTTTTTGCTCTGCAAAACACGATATTCCTGCGGATTCCGTGGTATTTCCCTAAGTTTTCCTTGATTTTTCGTAGGAAAAACCTATTTCCTATTACCTATGGCGTTCGTGTCATTTCTTCAGGTTTTCAGAAGGACAACATATGGTTGTTCCTCGGGAAAATCAAATTTTCCTTCCAATTTCACATTTAGGACGGATTTCCTGTTGTAGCTGTTGCTGGTATTCCGCTTCATCATCTATCTTAAACACGCCCCTCATTTGGCGATTCTGGTTCAGCATGTATCTACAAGGGCGGAGACGCCCTCATTTGCTGGGTTTCAAAAAAAGGCATATGCTTCAAAGCAACCCTGCACGGCTTAAAACAGCGGGGGGGTTGGGGGGGGCGCAGCCCCCCCCATTTGCAGAGACAACGTTCACATGATGGGCTTCGAAAACACTCTTTGAATCAAGCTTGCACGTTTCGAAAAGCGCGGCGGCGGGTGTTTTGTTCTTCCGTGCCTGTTCGTGTCTCTTCTTCCGTTAGCATTCTAACCCAATATATATAACATAGTAAACCAGAAGAACGACATAAGATGGTTCGACAACACAAAAAATGGTGTGACATTTTCTGACATAACAGAACCTTGCTTCTTATAGCATATAATAGCATACTAAAAATACAACAATACAATATAACAGAAGATGACATAGAACAAAACAACATCTTAGTTTATAGTGTAGTACATTGTAGCATAGTACAATACAGTGTGTATATTTGCAACATAATATGTAGTATATTTTATAACATTAGGTTACATTATGTTATATTATGTTACGGTACATTACGATATTATGGTAAATTCGATTGGACTATGTAGTATCCTGTTGCTTGTATCTTTGTTTCTGCGATTCTTTCATATTCTTTCTCTTTCGTCTTCTCCAACTTTGCTTTTTTAGTATGGACTTTCTTTTTTCGCTCGTTCATTTCTTTTCTTTCTTTCTGTTGTTCTTTCTTTGTTCATCTCATACTCCATTCCTTTCTTTCTTGCTTTCTTTCTGGTTTGATTTATTTCGTTCTTTCTTTGGTTCGTTCTTTCTTTCGTTCTTGCGTTCGTTCTTTCTTTCGTTTTCGCTTTCGTTCTTTCGTTCTCTCTCTCGTTCTATCTTTCTTTCTTTCTGTTGTCCTTTCTTTCGTCCTCTTTAGATACAGCAATTTGCCTACGTTTTCCTTGATTTTTCGTAGGAAAACCCTATTTTCCTATTACCTATGGCGTTCGTGTCATTTCTTCAGGTTTTCAGAAGGACAACATATGGTTGTTCCTCGGGAAAATCAAATTTTCCTTCCAATTTCACATTTAGGACGGATTTCCTGTTGTAGCTGTTGCTGGTATTCCGCTTCATCATCTATCTTAAACACGCCCCTCATTTGGCGATTCTGGTTCAGCATGTATCTACAAGGGCGGAGACGCCCTCATTTGCTGGGGTTCAAAAAAAGGCATATGCTTCAAAGCAACCCTGCACGGCTTAAAACAGCGGGGGGGTTGGGGGGGGCGCAGCCCCCCCCATTTGCAGAGACAACGTTCACATGATGGGCTTCGAAAACACTCTTTGAATCAAGCTTGCACGTCTCGAAAAGCGCGGCGGCGGGTGTTTTGTTCTTCCGTGCCTGTTCGTGTCTCTTCTTCCGTTAGCATTCTAACCTAATATATATATATATATATATAACATAGTAAACCAGAAGAACGACATAAGATGGTTCGACAACACAAAAATGGTGTGACATTTTCTGACATAACAGAACCTTGCTTCTTATAGCATATAACAGCATACTAAAAATACAACAATGCAATATAACAGAAGATGACATAGAACAAAACAACATCTTAGTTTATAGTGTAGTACATTGTAACATAGTACAATACAGTGTGTATATTTACAACATAATATGTAGTATATTTTATAACATTAGGTTACATTATGTTATATTATGTTACGGTACATTACGATATTATGGTAAATTCGATTGGACTATGTAGTATCCTGTTGCTTGTATCTTTGTTTCTGTGATTCTTTCATATTCTTTCTCTTTCGTCTTTTCCAACTTTGCTTTTTTAGTATGGACTTCTTTCTGTCTTTCGCTCGTTCATTTATTTTCTTTCTTTCTGTTGTTCTTTCTTTGTTCATCTCATACTCCCTTCCTTTCTTTCTTGCTTTCTTTCTGGTTTGATTTATTTCGTTCTTTCTTTGGTTCGTTCTTTCTTTCGTTATTGCTTTCGTTCTTTCTTTCGTTTTTGCTTTCGTTCTTTCGTTCTCTCTCTCGTTCTTTCTTGCATGGCTTTCTTTATTTCTTTCTTTCTTTTGTTCTTTCTTTATTTCTTTCTTTTGTTGTTTCTTTATTTCTTTATTTCGTTCTTTCTTTCGTTCTGTCTTTCTTCCTTCCTTTCTTTCTTTAGTTCGTTCTTTCTTTCTTTCTTTCCTTCTCTCTCTCTCTCTCTGTCTTTCTTTCCTTCCTTTTTCCCCTTCCTTTCGCGGATACCCGTTTAATTTTTTTTGATCCTTATTTAATTTTTTTTTGATCCTTATTTAATTTTTTTTGATCCTTATTTAATTTTTTTTTAACCCCTATCCCGTCCAAACGACCCAAGTCCTTCGAAGACGAATGTCGTTGCTCGGCCTCGCGCTGGACTTTATTACAGTCTTCGATGATCTTCGTGTTCAAGAGGCCCGACCAAATGCTGGTCAATACGTGTGCAACGTCCTCCGTAAGGCTCTGAAACCGGGTAGTGCAAAGATCGGCGAGGATGTACCGACTAATCGGCCCTTGGGAGAAATGACCTTCGAGCAATTTTTTTGCCATACGAGAACCACCACTGTGCGTGTCCTGGATACAAGACTGCATCTCTTTGAAAAAATCCAAGCTTGCCCGACGGAACTGCTCTTCAGCATGGACTAGTCCTGCGGTCGCACCGAAACCTCCAGTATGGTACAGCTGTGCCCCGGCCCGCAGCCGCAGGATCTGTAGTGTCAACTGCGTCATTTGGCCTGCGAGCGAGTCCTGCCAGACAAGCTCTGTCTCCTCCGGGGGTTGTGCGCGTGCCAGTGTCAGGTCGAGGCCGACACGAGATAAACCTTCCAAATTCGACAAAGTCCTGACGTGGTCCTTTGCAGTGCTCATCCAAGACCAGTGTGCCCAGCCAGAGTAGTAGTCCTTCGTCATGCCTTTGGAACGCAGCTGCTTGAGCATGAGCGAACAACGAAGCTCTTCGGGTTGCAAGACCTGGAACATCATCCTGGCTGTCGTCTTGTTGTCCTGCGAGATCACGAACTTCGTCATTAAGTGTAGACTGTTCGCGCTGCCCTTCCGCTCCTGGTCCATGCCTTGCTTGGCCTCCTGTATGGCAGAAGACTTGCTTCCACCATATGGAACCGAGGCACGGGCCTGGTTGCTGTCCTGCGAGAAGAGGTCCTTAGTGGAAACTGCCCAGTTGTGCTCCAAGCAGACCACCGTGAGAACTAAAGCCAAGACCGACCACTCTTTGTCCAGCGCGCTGTGGGCCGTCGTCAGGGAATTGAACCGACTCTTGCTGGCCTTCGTGCCCTTGATGCGGATGCAGTCCATGTCGGGTAATGTCTGCAAAAACGACCTGCGTTTCTCCTCCGTGTTGTCGTCCAGGGGGGAGAGGCCGGCGTCCAGCAGAATGTCCGGGAAGAAAAGGAGCAATATCGGGTCCGAGGGGTCCATGTTGTCCTTCATGCGATTTGCGGCTTGCTGGATCTTCAACGCCCACGAGCCCTTCTGCCAGGGTCCATACCTGATGTTGTACAGCGAGATGCACGTGCAGAACTTCAGGAGTCCAGCGGCCGACAAGGCCAAAGCCACGTCGTTGTGCGACCTGTGGGCGGGGTCCGAGACGTGTTCGATCCAGAGGCTCTTTTTGTTCCTCAAGAAGGAGACAGCCGCCAGCTGTGTTGCTTCTTGGTCGGTGCACAAAATCATGATCGGTGCACGTTTAGCCTTCGTGTCGTCCTCCGCGGGGCCGGCCGGCGTGCTCTGGCAGCAGCCAAAAGTCCAGCCAATGGGTCGCAAGCCGTGGTTTATGTCCTGCATCCAAGACAGTGTGGCCAGCCGGTCCTCCGCATGACCAGGTCCAACGGGTTTCTCGATCCCGAGGAACTTCTTGGAAGCCTTGTTCCACATAGCTTTCCACTGCTCAGCCGACAAGACGGACGATTTCTGGACCTGCTGCGTGGTCTGACTACACAGAGAAAAATGTGAAGCAAAGCTTAGAGGAAGAGCTTGTCAGCAACAGCATGCAAAACAAACGACAGAGGTTGTTACCATATAATCACCCAGGGGCCCTTTTTTGGGGGACCGGCCGGTCAACTTAAGCGGGGATCTGGCGTACCTTTTTGGGGGCCGAAATGCAGCCAAAATGTGGCCGAAATGCGTTCCTCGGCCTCCACCCGGGACCCGGTCAACTTAAGCAAGGCTGTGCGTACCTACTCATCAGTAGAAGGGCGGCCGGGAGCCTTTATCAGGCCAATCCCGAAACCCAGGGGTCAGCGGGGATACGTGTACCTATCTTTATATAAAATACAATAGAAAGACTCCGCCCCAAACCGAGCCTGAGCGGGGATACGTGTACCTCCCCTCGGAAAAACGATTTTGGTCGGACCCAGAAGCTACGAAAACGGCACCCAAAAAGGTCAACTTAAGCAAGGCTCTGACGTACCTCGCCTCTTGCCTAAAACGCCTCAGAAATATGTGTTGCTTAACAAAAAAAAAGCGCCTGCGGCGGGCAGACCCAAACTTTGTCCGTCGTGTGGTTGTACACCATGATGTTCAGCCAATCGTCACTTCCCACGTGCACTGCATCTGCCACCACGCACAAAATGTCCGTCGAGAGGAAATCTGACTTGCCCTGCGTGACATAGGCGTATCGCTCCATGCGTGCTAGCCTGTGTGCGTCCATAGAAGCGTGCTTCTTGATCTTTTGTTCGTCCTGCTGTTCGCTGCTGTCCTGCACGGTGAACGCATGTCCTTGCAATGTGGAGGTAAGTGTCCTGCGTGTGGCATTCGATGAACTCGCAACCTCTTGTCGAAAACTCGTGGACGACCGACGATATCCGGAGGTGCTCCTGAAACAACAGGGGGAATATCAATTTTCGGGCTTTCAAGACACAACCCTACATCTTAAAACCCCGGAACCCTCCAAACCCTTCAAACCCTCCAAACCCTCGAATCGAAACCTCTCTCCTAAGCTGCATCACTTGCTTCACATTCAAAGATGTCCAGCAGGAATGCGTGTCGTCCGACGAATCCATGGCACGTGCCAAAGCCGCCAACAAGTAGTACTTCGTCCTCAAACTAGATGACTTGCGAGTGTCTCCAATTGTCCGACGGGTGCAGTCCACATTCACATCCTGCAGCACGTCCATGAATCGGGAACGATCGCGGTGTAGTACTTTAGCAAGTAAACTGTTTTGCAGTACAACCTCGTCCACGTCCAGCGAACCTCCTTTGAACGGCAGCACCAGAGTGTTTCCGTCCCACGTGAATGAGAAGTCCTGCGGGGTCTGCAGGAACAAGGAAGCGAGGCCTTGAAGCAACTCCCCGGCCAGCTTGGATACCTCCTCTGCCGGCTTCTTCCATTTGGCATCTTTGCGCATACCCTGGTGCCATTGATGCAAAAGAACAATCGTTGCAAAGCTCGACGTGGCAAACTCTGTACAACGTGTGCTTCGTCCAGCTGCTACCTCTTCCATCTGGTCACCCGTGTGCTCCTCATTGTCCGCTTGCTCGTTGTCGTCCTCCATGTCGTCCTGCATCTGCTGCGAGGATGCCTTTCGTTTGGTGCCCTTCTTCTCGGCGTTTGCAGCGTGCTCCTGCTGCTTGAGGAGGGAGAACGAACTCTGGAGAAAGTGCGACTCGAGCTCTTTTTTCAGAGCGTCCTCCGTGTCTGTCCAGCAGGGCCATGCAATCGTGAAGAGCTTGTTCCTGAACGTCGACACACTGCCTGCGAGGAAACTTCGAGACTCGTGTCCTCCGAGGAAGTCCACAAACCAACGCATGTGCCAAAAACGATGTCCATCCGTTACCTTGGTCTGCGGCTCTTTGTACTTGTAGCTCTCGCCCTTCAGGCTTCCGTGTGTCCCGCAGGGAATGCAAAATGCAACTGTCCGACGCTTGTCCGACGCAGAGCTGAAAAAAGCTGGAGGTCCTGAAGAAGAGGGTCCATCGGCAGAAGCGGGCTCCAGCATCTGATAGCGAGTGGATCAATTCTACAGTCTGTTTCTGGTGAACGAATGTAGCAAAACTTTATAGGCTATGTCCCAGGAAGTATATGTGACATCTGCCAAACCAAGAGAAAGGGAGGCTCTGCAGGCATGCAGCTTTTATTCTGGAAGCCCAAAGACAGCGGCAACGAATCGCTGATGTCGCAAGGCAGTGCTCACACCACGTGTCATGGGTCTGTGTTCTTCTGCAACATGTATGTAGCACATACTGCAAGGCACCGCAAGGAAGTCATTATTGCAGTCAGCCATTCATCGCACGTATTCTTTTATGCAGCTTGCAAGTTGCCGGCTTCACGGCCCCAGTGAAACTCGTGCCTGTCCACTCACTCAGACACAATGGGTCGAACGGCGAGGCGAACGACATTGTGCTTTTCGAGTGAACAAACTGGACAGAACAACGAGTAAAGTCAACCCCAAACTCAAGACACACTGAACTACCAGGAGAGAGTGCATTATGCACTCCGGACCGACGGGGTGCCCTGCGGCACATTGTCGCCGAGGCCAGCCGTGGTGTCTGCGTCCGACGACAAGTCGAAGGTCCACTTGGCCTTCATGTCCGGCAAAGTAGGAAAGAAACTCGCGCATTCAAAACTGAACAACGAGTTATGCTGTCCATCTGAAATGACACAGTCCACCGCAAAAGGGTCGTCCAATTGCCACGTCTTGTTGTCCGGGAGAGTAGGAAGCTCGTGGCTGAGGTACGACTCGTTGGGTACGAACTCCGAGCGGGAACGGCGAGGGTGTCCATCTTGTGTGGCAAAGACGTGGCAGTACAACGTGTTGTTCTAAGTGACCAGATGTTGTACCTGTCCCGGTCAACACTGATAGCCTCCGCCGAGTTCACCGCAGCTATGTAGTTGCGACCAACGTCCTCCATGCGGGCCCTCGCTAACTTGACCAACGTGGACTGATAGCGAATGTCCGCACGAGATGGCAAGGACGCCGACTTGGCTGCCCAGAACTGGATCTCGAAGAGGGTCCGTACGACGGGTTCGTCCTTCTGTACGTCCTCCGCGAGCTCCACACCGCAATGCTTGAGCATTAAGCTCGCCATCTCAAGCGGCAAACTGCCCCATTTGGTGCACTTGCCCTTCCATCTCAGTCCACCGGTCTCCTCCTTCTTGGCAACGTCCTTCAGAAGACCATTCAACGAGCCCGAGCGGATCAGACCAGCGAGTGGAGAAATCCAAGTCGGGTTCTGGGTCAGCGTGTCTTGAATGAACCGCATGTCCACGTCGAGTATGGTGCTTTTGGAGTGCTGAACGGCGGATGCGAACGTCGCCTCGTTGCGCTCCCGGGTCTTGATGTCCTTCGCTTTCTGCTTCGCCAGCTGCTTGAGGGTGGGCTTGCGGGGGCCGGCATCACGAGGCATGCTGGGCAAGGTCCGTCGAGGAAGAACGACGGGGGAAGGATGATAAGACTGCACGAAGTCTCAACGCACAGGCAGGACGGCTTCGGAAAACCAAACAATCAATCAAGCCCTGCTGCTGGGTGGTCTCACAGTGCATTGTGACTGGACGAACATGGCAAGCAAGACACAAAGCGTAGACCGCACGAGAGCACAGTGCCTGAAACGAGAAGGCTCAGCGGCAGCGATGCCGGCCAATGGAGTCCGTGTCCTCCATATGAACAGGACAACAGCGATTGCAAGAGCGCCTTCCTCCAGCTGGTTGACTACTGGTCTAGTAATTACTCGTAGCAATACTAATCCAGATTGCGAAGAGTAGTACTAGCAGCAGTACCACTACTCATTAAAGAAAGGAAAAACCAGTAGGCCGAAATTGCAGTCCCTATTAGTTGAAGTAGAAGTATTAGTAGTAGTAGTAGTACTAGTAGTACTAGTAGTAGTAGTAGTGTACTAGTAGTAGTAGTAGTAGTAGTAGTAGTAGTAGTAGTAGTAGTAGTAGTAGTAGTCGTAGTAGTAGTACTAGTACTAGTACTAGTCGTAGTAGTAGTAGTAGTAGTAGTAGTAGTAGTAGTACTAGTCGAAATAGTAGTAGTAGTAGTAGCAGTAGTACTGGTTAGCTAGTAGTAGTAGTAGTAGTAGTAGTAGTAGAAGTAGCAGTAGTAGTCGTAGTAGTGCTAGCAGAAGTAATAGTAGTACTAGCTAGCTAGCTAGCTAGCTAGCTGGCTGGCTAGCTAGTAGTAGTAGTAGTAGTAGTAGTAGTAGTAGTAGTAGTAGTAGTAGTAGTAGTAGTACTAGTAGTAGTAGTAGTAGTAGTAGTAGTAGTAGTAGTAGTAGTAGTAGTAGTAGTAGTAGTAGTAGTAGTAGTAGTAGTAGTAGTAGTAGTAGTAGTAGTAGTAGTAGTAGTAGTAGTAGTAGTAGTAGTAGTAGTAGTAGTAGTAGTAGTAGTAGTAGTAGTAGTAGTAGTAGTAGTAGTAGTAGTAGTAGTAGTAGTAGTAGTAGTAGTAGTAGTAGTAGTAGTAGTAGTAGTACAGTACCAATGCTAGTAGTACTTGTACTAGTCGTGGTAGTAGTCGTAGTACTGAGTTGTACACCTCATGATTATTTTCCTGAATCAAGCCACACCCGAAGCCCCTCTGTGGACAAGTATGGTGAACTTCCAGAAGTGAAATCGGTTTATACCATGCACTGTAAGTAGATCTAGTTAAGGAGACACCACCCGCAATGAATAGGCCAGAACTAACCTTAATGATTCACAGCCACAAACAACAAATCTAATGTGTAACGCCCAACACTAAAATTTACCGCTCACCCTCGATTCTATGCACTCGATGCTTGAAATGCTGAAATGGCAACCCAGGCAACAAACCGGACTCCAATTGCTCAAAGGCCTTTAACTCTTTATGTCTACGGCAATTGCTCCATGTCTGCTGCAGGTGGATCCTAACTTACCTCAGAGTCCGCGGAATGCCTTGTCACAATCCGAAAGCATGACCCCTGACTTAGTCCTCGTCCTGCCGTGTGGCCGTGCCCTGCGAACCGAACGAGGAGTGACCGACCTCAATTGCAATGCATGAAGCACATGACAAACCTAGTACGAGTGACTGGTGACTGCGGGTGGTTCAAGCACTTGTCGCTTCCGAGTGTGACAGGAAAGAACACAGCAACTGTGCCGATGCAAATCGTCACAAACTGTGCAGCACCAGAACTCCGAGGACCCCGCCAAAGAGGTGCCAGTCCATGTCAGCAACCTGAAGCGCAAAAGTTTAAGTCAGCAAACAGTGCGATAGGAACTAACATCCGGCAAATGTAAAGTGTGCCAGGACAACTCTTTTGAACGGCGAGAGCGAACTGATCTGAACTCCGAGTGCAGAAAACGTGTCACTTTCGAGACTGGCCGGCGAGAGCGAACTGCTCCAGAACTCCAAATGGAGACTGGCCGGCGGGTACGTCGTGCTTGAACGAACTGCGGCTAGTTCCACGAGCCCGGTCCAAGTTCGAGTTTCTTGAGAAACAGTCCGATGCACTGAAAGTCGATCGTGTCACCTGAACCAGCGATGTCCGAAAATTTGTCGACTTGGTAAGTATTTCAGTTATACTACAAGGTTTACCAACAAAAATCTTACTGGTTCTGCTGTTGCACGTCCGTCGGGGCCCTTCGTGATGCAGAAGTACAAGTCCGACGCGTTGTGCGACGACACCGCGTAGTACATGTGGCCCTGCCAGGGAACGGGGACGGCCACCGGGTAGGCCTCCCAGTCGCGGTTCAGCATCTCGACCATCCACGATTGCGGGTGTCGGGAACCGAACAGCGGGGAATGGAGTCCGGCGGAGAGGGCGCTGTCTGTCCTGCGCTGGGCCGCCCCGAGTATCTGCTTGAAGCAGAGCCTGGACCGGCAGTGGGTGCTGCGTGTTTAACCACTCACACACACAAGTGCAAGTACTGGAATGCTTGAATGACTGAGTGCGCTGATGTCATAGCTGAGTGCCACACTCCAACATTTTATCGCCCTGCATGTGTTCGACGAGTATCTGCCAGCCGTCGTCCTTCCTGCTAGGGAACAATTCAATTATCAGAAACACAAACTATTAAAATCTAGAAGTCTCTCTCACTCACCGTCCGAGGAGTCCGTGTCGCGAAGGCAGGGGGCCGCTTGTACAGCAGTCCATCGGTTGCAGCAAGCCAAGACCAAAGCCTACGGGATGTGCTCTGTGGAAAAGAATCAATGTATTATAATATTATATGGCTTTAAAAGCATGCACCTTCATAGAAACCACGCTACAACCAACATGGGTGTAACGAGCCTGTCCGCCCATTTCTGCTGCGTGTCGTACGGCGAGTGTTCGGGTACAAAGACAGTCGAGAGCCATTCGGTGCGCCATTCGGGCATCCTGTCGGGTTGTCCAGTGCGGAAATAATATGCCTGCGCAAGGCTCAGATCGGCGAGGAAGCACTGCAAATCCTCCTGCGAGTCAATGTCCGGCGGAAGGCAGTCCAAACAGTTCGACGGCAGCTGCTCGCAATAATCGAGATTACGCTGCAGGATGGTACTTGGGTCTTCCATCCCACAGACCGACGCGAGGTAATAGTCCATCGCACGAAAATCGAATATGACCTCGTCCTGCGGGTCGGTGGAACGGCGAAGAAAAAACGGGAGTCCATGGGGAAGTCCTGCTCGGTCAGCGGAACCGGAGGACGACATGTCCGACGAGAAAGAACGAGGAAAGGGAGAGGAATGATGATGACAGTGGCAGGTGGCTTGGGCTTTCTGGCAGCGGCATGATAACAATGATTCTGTGTCTAGGCTTCTTTAAAAAACCTAAAGCATCACCAACCACGACAGACCATGATGCTTCAGATGAAAGTCTGCCTGACTTGTGCTGCTGCTCCACACTGGCAAGTGCTAGGCTGCCCACGGTGATCTACGTGTGCCCACTCGAAGTCCAGCGGAGTCACCTTTGTGAGGCCGACGTTAGTACTACATGGGAACCATGGACTCATGATTTGTCCCTAGTCCTTCGGGGTGGTCCTGCGGTGCCGCTTTTGAGCTTCCTAGCTTAAATCATAGTAACTTCGAATGCAAAGTGCACAGAAAAGGAGCTTGGACAGTCCTAGGAACCGACCTTGAACAGTCTGGTTACAAAACCCAGCATTCTTTACAAGAGGCAAGCTGCATCGAACTCCGAACGACCGTTGCAATGTGTACTGACGACCCAGGCCTTGTGTCTAAGTCTTCAAACTGACATGTATAACTATGATTCTAAACTGCGTTCAGTCAGCTGCTAACCACCCTTGTCCCAAAGGAACCCCACACCCTGTGTAAACCCGACAGCTGAAACACAGACTCTGTGTGTGTGTGTGGGTGTGTGTATGTGTTGTCCTGTGTATGTCCTGCGAGTGCCAACAGCTGTTGCTTAGTGTTGCATGGGAAACCAGATGAACACAACGTCCCAAATGAAGTCCCCAATCTCAGAAGATGTAAGTAACAAGCGAAGAAACCTGTAAGTAGCATCTCAAGACAAGATGGTTCCAAAGGCAACCGCTAAAGAAAAGTATAAGTACCAGGAGAACAAACAGGGAATGTGCATTCTCGAGTCCAGTACCATTATACCACTGCACAAGTGCAAGAACTTACTGTACTTACCCTGTGCCCTGAAGAGAACCATCCTTTAAACCCAAACAAAAAAAGCATGAACAGACCTGAGCTTGCAACGAAGGATTGCGCATGGAAGACCTGATGCGAGGAAGCTTGAGGGCTTCTCCTCTTTAATATTTTATAATTCTGAGTATTAATATAATATTATTATTGCCTGATGTGAAACCTCCACAAAGACTGAGACACCCAATCCAAACCACTTTTTGACTGTCCATGGTTTGAATATCAAAAAGCTCGTAAATTAAATATGAAGACAGACCTTTCCTGAGAGGGAAGAATAACGATTCTGAAGCCCCCTGTAGACTACTGCAAACTCCATTATCGCAAATCCACCTCTGAGTCTTTGCCATCCGACTTAACATTTACATAGAAGACATGGACACCACATTTTCCTAGCCGCATGGCATATGAGAAATATGAATTATCTGTGCAGTAACGGCGCGGCAAAACAGCTAACTCCAAACCGTGATAAATCTTTCATAAGAGACCACGACCCAACCAGCAACACATGATCGGAGCCGCTCTGAGCACCCAGCTGCGAAGAAAGGGTGGCTTCAAAGCACCTGACGCTGGCAAACACTGGCATGCTGATACGACTCACTTACTACCTCAGGAAAGCATTCTGCGGCAACGACTGCAGAACCGCACTTTTTCCTGCTGTGTCCGGCGAGTCGAGAAGTTGGCGAGTCGAGTACCGTGTATCAGACCGACGAATCAGGATATTTCTCTGTCTATTCCAGGATGCTGCTATGCGGCCTTCTAAAACATTAATTTAATAGTTTGTCCTTCGAGGAACCGTCGAGTCTGATA